ACCTTATCAGTGTGTGTATATATATATATATATATTTATTTATTTATTTATTTATACCTGCTTACTATATCTTATAATAACATTAATAAAGAATCAATTAACATGAGACATGTACGGATTACAAACCCAACTAATAGATAGAAAATTTGTGAAACAAAACGACAAAACTTGAGAGATACTCTATGCCTTTCATCATATACAAAATATCAAATAATAACATGGTCAAATAATAAAACACGATTAAAATCACATGTAATTTGTCCATTCTCATTTTTTCTTATTTGATCATCGTTTTCATTTAAATCCAGATACACAAACACTCTTTTTTTTTAACATTTTGTGTGTGGAAAGAAATTGTTCGATCTTTTGACAAAAAATTGATATAATTTATCGTCGAATTAAATATCTTGTTCTATAAATTTAATAATTTCTAATAATTAAGTTGATATTATGTTTATACGATTTTAGTATCATGGTTTAATTAGGATGATTTATTAACCTTTTTATCTATCCTATATTATAAATCATTTGACAAAAACGTTTAAAAATCATTCTTTATGCATGAAGTACTGTGTTTTAATACATATTACTTAAAATCTAAGATTACAAGTAAATTGTACGTAAGTACAACTTATTAAAGCTTCATWTTTGAATTTGTATAACTAACTGCAAATAAACATAATCAAATACAAGATAAACATCTCATTTTAAATATAAAAAATCTAAAATATAATTAGGATAATCATTGAGTTCTAACAAAATCATTTTCTTTACAAAAACTTATTGTCAAACCAAAAATAAATTATTTCATTATTTGACTTAAATTAAATTATAACAAAAAATTGAATTAAAGAAATGTATATAAAAAAACAAGAACTTTTAAATATTTAATTTGATATTAATATCGATATATTTTTTTAAATTTTTATGATATCTTCAAATGTATTTTTTTTCAAAAATAAAAACATTATCTTTCTAAAAACCACTTAAACGATTTTATATCAACATAGACAAAAAATAAAATAAAATATTAAAATAAAAATATATCTTATTACATTCATCTAATATTAAAAATGAGTTTTAAAATCATGGTTGACTCTTAATTTTCAAATTAATAATGTAAATGCGTCACAACCCTCAGCAGTTCAAGTTTGACCATTCTCCATCCTTTCCGTTTTCCATTTTCCATTTTCTTATGGTGGGAAAAAACCTTTTTCCATATATAACATTTATTATTTTTTCAAATTTTATTTTTTAATTAAGATTAAATGTATGAAATAGCAATTTATTTTCATAAATTTTTTTATTATAATATTTTATTTTTATTTTTTTATTACAGCAATGTACTTTCAAATTATTTTTTATTAAGACATCGTATTTTAAAAAATCTACCCATTATAGCAATATGTAACATGTTACCTTTTAAACCAGTTAACCTTTTTACTTTTAATTATATCATAGGAAGGCAATAAGGGAAGGTAGATATGTGAATTATTGAAATTTTCTTTGAATATATATATTTTTTTTGAAAGGCAAAAAAGGAAGGACAAGGATGAGAGCTTCGGCATGGCCATCACCCTCACCAAGCCAACCAATATATTAAACAACAGATCCAACAAGAAGCTAGACACAAGAGGATACAAAAATCCACCACAACAAGCGAGAACAAAAAGAAACAAAAACAAAACATCCCCAGACAAAGGCCAAAGCAAAACTCAAACCTAAGACAAGCAAAGAGACTAAACAAGGTAAGGAGAAGAAGACCAACTATTCCAATTAAGATGGAACTTACGATTCTTGTTCCCCATCCAAAGTTTGGATACATTTTGAACACAAGGGAATGGGTCTTCACCTCTCTTCTTAGTTTCCGCACCATCCTCAGCATGAAAAGTTTCATTCCGCCACTTCCAAAGTTGCCAAAACGTTACAGCGCACACTGATAAGAAAGTCACTCCAACCTTACGATTAGTACCTACTTGTTTGATCAGCATTTTAAAATCAGACACCGAGGATAGACGGGGAGTTTTAAGATCCCACCAAACCCATATTTTCCTCCATAGAATGTTTGCCACCGAACAAGAGAAGAAACAATGGTCCATAGTTTCAACCCCTTTGCCACAAAAGATGCACTCCAAATATACATATATATATATATATATATATATATATATTGATTTTAATGTTTTGTTTTATATTTTGACTCTATCGATGTTATAATACGATTTTATGTGGTTTTGAGAAAAAAAAATGTTTTTATTTTTGAATGAAATATTATATTTCTTTAAAAAATAAGCGAAATTAATATTAAATCAACTATTTAAAAGTTCTCATTTTTTATGTAATTTTTTTAATTTATTTTTTATTATAATTTAATATAAGTTTAATAATAAAATAATTTATTTTTGGTTTAATATTATAAATTTTATAAAGATAATAATTAAGTATTCTGTTGAATTCAATGATTATCTAATTATATTTTAGATTTTTTATATTTAAAATGAGATGTTTATCATGTATTTGATTATGTTTATCTGTAGTTAGTTACACGAATTCAGATATAGAGCTTTAATAAGTTGTACTTATGCATAATCTACTTGCAATATTGAGTTTTAAGTAATATGCATTAATAAACAGTACTTTACGCATAAAAAGTGGTTTTTAAGAGTTTTTGTCAAATGTTTTATAATATAGTATAGATATATATCAAGGTCATATTAATAATTTGTAACGCCGGTTCACATATGCATCTTTAAATTGATTTTTTCAATGATTTGCATATAATTCTTTTTTAAACATTCTCTTCTTACTTTCTCACAATATTTGGTCTTCTTATTAAACTGGCCCATGTATACACACATACTTTCAAAAAGGTTCAAACGAGAATGACAAAAACATTACTTAAGAAGATAGAAATAACACTCAACCGTCGAATGAGATGACGCAAAGGAGAAGTACATTGTGTTTTTTCGGAAGGAGGTGGAGAGATCGATCCATGACGTGCTGATGCTTCTATTGCTTCTGATTTTTGAGGATCGAAAAATTGGTAGAAGACATTTAAAAATTGGTGATTTAAACGTTGATATTGATTTATAAGATATAACACCATTAATTAGTATAATATTTTATTTAAATTAAATATCTTGTAGAAGATATTAAATTTTAAAAACTTGAAAGCATGTATTATAATCACAAAGGTGGTGTTTGATTGGTTTAAGTTTGGGCTCCAAATGTCAAAAGTGTTTGGAGGTCATAGGTTCAAATTCAAAGAGGAATAAAAATCTTTTTGTAGCCACAGAGGTTCAAATGCGGTGACTCTGAGATACCCACAAAGCGGGTGGTCACCCAAGAATTAGTCGGCTCGCATAGTGAGTTGGATATCCAGATTAATCAAAAAGAACATGTATTATATACATATTTATGTAATTTCTATTTACTCCATCCTATTGAAAAACTATAATGTTCGATTTCACATACATTAATCAAACTTAAAGACTAATTATGACGACATATATCGAAATTAGAGATTTATTTATTTAATTATTAATCAATTTATTAGCAAAAATGTAAATATAATTATTTGTTAGTGTCTTACTTGAAAATAAATGTGATATTGATATATATCTCCATTAAATACATGTAATTTCACCATTTTTTTAATTAAATAAATCAAACACGGACATTACATTAGAACTAACGCGTTAATGACAAATTGGTCTGACATATAAATATAAAACTATAATTAAATTAAAGATGCCATTCAGCCAATTAAAGATTACTAACTTAATGAAGATCTGAATTACTTAACTTAATAAATAAATCATCAAGTCGTCTTAATTAGAACCAGATGTAAATCTAATGTCATCATGAAACTTACATCTCTAAATGTGATACACTTATAGGTATTAGATTTTCTTATTCACATAATTAAACTTAACATCAAATAAATTTTTGAATAAATAACAGTTTCAAGTTTGAATCATGCAGAAGACGAGTTTGAACCATTCCCGCTAGTCATAATCATTTAGGGGCCGTTTACCAAACGCTTACTCGGGTAAGCGTTTGCCAAGTCACATTATCTAATCGGATGAATATGGTAAGGACCAACAATTTTACCCGGTCAAAGCAAGACAAGAACCAAGAGTCTTACCCGGTAAGTGAGAACGACGACTCTTACCACAGTAAGTGATTACCGGATAAATTGTTGCATGCGATGTCATTTTGGTGGACTAAAATCTTACCTGATAAATAAATAATAGTGCTAAATTTTACTGGTAAGCACTTATAGGGTAAGTATTTGATAAACGGCTCCTTAGTCAACTCTGAAATGTCTCTTCACATATGGATGGTTCTTAGGGGCTGGTTTCGTGTGGGGCTAGTCGCTATTGTTGGCAATTAACCTTTTGGTAGAAAAAAAATATTGTTTTTGTAAAATGTTAGTTTCAATAAATTGATTGAATCGCTTACCGAATCAGAAAGCAACCCAGTACATCAACATGTCACTCAACATAATTTATAGGTTAAAGTGTATCGGTTGATAAAATCACTTTTTTACCGGGTAATATCTTCTTACCTTATAAAAACATGTTCACTATATCGTAAATAGTCTCGTAACCAAACCATAAAGGTGGTGCCTGATTAGTTTGAGCTTGACTCCAAAAATTAAAAGTATTAGGAGGTTTCAGGTTCAAATCCAATGAGAAATAAAAATCCCTTTGTGACCACGATGGTTCACATATAATTTTTTTTAATAATCTATTCTTTATATTTTCTTACGATATTTAACTCTCTTATTTAAACCGTCCACGATAGAATTTACATTTAGAACTTATAAAAATTCATTTGTATTTATTTAACCAACACAATAAACAAAAATATTATACAAAATTTATTGATAAGCAAAGGCTCCTTAAAGTACGGTACAATATGTACGGCTGCTTATACTACTCCAATATTTTTTTGATTTCTTTACATAACTTTGTTTATTACTTTTTTCTGAACCCTTAAACATGGTGGTCCGGCGTAGTATTCGGCGGAGTTTCGGTGACGGCCACCACCAATCTCCTCCCACGTTCCGCCCTGCTGTTCTCTGCAAACTTCATACTTCCGATGTGCAAACCCTTCTCTCTCTCTTCCTCACTGTACTCCAAGCTATAATAATACTCTTCATCGTACTTCTCATTCTTTGATGCCGGTAAAAACATGCTCCCCCATTGTGGGAAGTGGATAAAAGCCACCGGAATCGTTAAAACCACCGCCATCACCCCCATCCACGTTAATCCCCATGCCGTGGAAAACCTTGCACCGGAGAAAAATAGCAGTTGGGTCAAACCACCACCAACATTGCCACCGGCACCGGTCAAGCCGGATAGAATGCCCAGAGAACGTCGGGAAACGAAGGGAATGATGCCGTAAGTTGCTCCACAAGCGGCTTGTGATCCTGCGGCCATGAGCATCATCGACAAGATGGCGATGGGTAGAGAGTTGGCTAGCCCTAACCATATGCAGAAAACGCCTCCTAGGGTTTGTGTTATCCATAATGTCCATAACCTTCCTCTCATTCCGAATTTACCAGCCGATAGATCGGACACGTAGCCACCGAATGGACGCGTAAAGAAGTTAGCCACCCCGAAACTTGCCGCCACGACACCGGCTGTGTGAAGCTTTAACCCGAACCTGTAGCATATTAGAAAAATGAAGTCGTCAACTACCTGATCACGAAGATTTAACGATTTATTCGTGACAAATATTAACGGAAAAATGAGTTTTTTTGTTACCTATCAAAGAAGTATTCAGAGATGACGTTATTCAAGCACAATTGCACGCCCATGGAATATCCATAGATCAAGAAAAAGATCCATGTCCTATAATTTGCCGCTGCATTTCGGAATACCTGCAGTTACGATTATTAGAAAACTTGGTTAAATAAGACCCGAAGAGAGATCAATATTCTTGAAATGTGGTGATCTTAAGATCGACACCGAATACAAATTATATATAGAGAGGGAGGTTTAGGAGAAAAATCCTAGTAACCGTTAATCTGGACGGTATGTACATGTGCGTACAAGTAAATGAAGTTATTTCTTGGGTTTTATGCACGTGTGGATGTCATGTAGTTTTTTATTTTTTTACGGTTTCCAGTGAACCGAGTCTCTTACATGTATAAGTAACTCACCTTTGAGAATTTATCCTTTGGAGCTTGTCCCTCCTTTTGAATTTGAGCAAAGTTGCCATCAGGCAAATCTTGGCCATAAACCAAAACCAGAACCCCAACGATCAGATGAAACCACCCTGGAATAAAGAAAGCAATCCTCCAAGCCGTGAATGGTGTGCTTCCGAGCATCTGACTTATCACATGGAAGAGCACCGGCATCAGCAGCTGAGTAACGCCACCACCCAGATCGCCCCACCCTGCCGACACCCCGTTCACCACTCCAATGATCTTCCCATTAAACATCACACTCGTCCAGTACTGGCAAGAGACGAACGTGGCCAACGAGAACCCTATCATGAACCTGACCGCCACGTAACCGCCAGCGTCGGCCACAAATGAGACACTGAAAACCACAGGGGCAGCCAGGAGGTTGATCACCGAACAACCGTACCTTGGTCCGACGAGGTCGCAGAGCACCCCCATGACGAGGCGTGAGAGGATGCTGCCTGAAACAGAGGCGATTCCGGCGTTGGAGATGTCGGAGCGAGTGAGGTTGAGGTTGTCCCGAATGATGGGAACAAGAGGGGCGGCGGCGAAGGTGGAGATGACGCAAGTGCAGAAGGATAGCCATGAGAGATGGAAAGCTCTCATGTGGGGTTGTGCTACGGAGAAGATCTTCATTTTTGTGGCCTTGTTTTCTGAATCCACCGGTAGAGCAAATGTCCGCTGAGGCGTGGCAGTAGTGGTGGGGATGGATATGGTACTTTCTTGATTTTCTGGGATGGTGGCTGAGGAAGCCATTGTTGTTTCTTGAACTCCAAAGGTGTGGGAAATGAATTAAGAAACGTAAAGAGAATATATATACATATATGTATATATATATTTGATAAGCTAAGAAAGAGTAAGATGTAGGTGTGCTTATGAATGGGAGGTGTTTCAGCGTATTTATAGACAACATGCAGGGTTTCGAGAGTTGACTTTTCTAAAGACTTGTTCATTGGCCACAGGGGATAACACACAAAATAGACGACACTGATTTTATCAACTAAAATCTTCTTAATTTATTTGTATGTTTTTTAATTCTTTTATATATATAAATACATAAATTATATTGATAAATTTAAACAATCTAATAAAATATAGAAAGTTTATCATGGATTGTTTGTTTATCTCTTAATAATTTTATTAAGAGGCAACATCTGAATTGTAAGAAGATGGATCTTGTTTGATAAAAAAATAAGTCTATTTTTTAATGGTTCTAAAATCATCTAAATGATTTTATATCTTGGGTCTTCTTAACCATTCAGCACACTAATTTCATTCTGAATAATTACTAAACAATTATATTTCTTTTTACACTATATTATAAGAGTCTTTTAATAATTATGATCACTTAATTATTATATGTCAAACCATTCAACAACTGTTAAATAACTCATAGGTCTTTTTATATGACAATTTTGAAAAGAGATAAATTTAATAAGTCTATAAAAAATTAATAAGAAACCTTTTAAAAGTATAATATTATGAACTAGAACGATTTACTTTTAAGCTTTGATTATGTTGCATTCAAGTTTGTCGATAAATTTGTTAGGTCGTCCAGCTTTAAATTCGTATTATAATAACTTAATTATGGTAATGTCATTTGTATATAACATTCAATTATTGATTACAGGGGTGGACCTATTCATGTCCGAGTGGTCCTATACGCTTTCTTAATTGAATTCGCAGGTAAAAAAAATTTGGGTATGAAAGTGGGTCTGCTAAACTTTGAGCAGTGCTCGACATATTAGAAAACACAAGGAATATCAACCAAAAAACTTAAAAAATACACTGAAATTAACCAAAAAAAAATTAAATGCTATGTTTGTCAAACTACCTTATAATTAATTCTAAATAATAAATTAAGTAACATTAACATATAATTAATGTAAAGTTAAAATTAATTAATCATTTTAACTAATATTATTACTATTATCACTATTTATTTATAATTAATATTTATTTATATCAGTAATAATTGATTTTTATCAATATTTGATGATTATTAATAATCAATATTTATTTATAATCAATAGTAATATCTATCAATTAATACTAATTAGATTTATAATTAGAAAAAGTGATAATACAACAAAATTGGGCTTATAGGATGTCACCAATAAATAAACGTCCTAATATACCATTTTATAGGACATAATTCACATGACCTAAAAATAAACTCTCATATCTAAAAGCATTGTAATAACTTTATATGACGCTTTTAGGTATCGTAACAAATTTATTAGAACACATAAAAAAGAGTCATATTAATTATTTTATATGACACTATTTGAAAAAGTGTTAGACAAACAAAAGTGTACTATAAGATTATGGATTTATAAGACACCTTTCTCAAAAACGTCAAATAAAATAGCTAATGTGACGTTTTGTATTAAAAACATCTTAAAAAACTTGCTAAGATACTTAAAAGCGTCTAGATAAACTTGTTACAATGTCTTTAGATAGAACGCTTTATTTTTTGATCATATTAAATGTTATAAGGCAGATTATTAGAAGGCTTATCCTATTTGTGTTGCCTGTAATCCACTTTAAAGGTACCCCTGTTCGACAAAAATTCTAAATCCGCTATTGATTAATCACATAAACTAAAAATCTCATTAAGTGCCTCTCCAATCCAACATCAAGTCTCATGAATAAGATTATTTTAATTATAATAAATCGAGAATTAATTATTTACAAATCCCTGAGAATTTTGGTTCCAATCGTCAATAAGTTTATATAAACTCCTCCAACACAGTTACTTTTCACAAGCGTCAATAAGTTTATATAAAATGTCATTTTACAGTTTGATATAATATCGTTTTTACAATAACAGTTACCAAATATTGTATTAACAATTACGATTTTGTCCTACGTCATGGAGATCCAACTTGTTTTGGTTTTCAAAATAAAATTAATTTTTAAAAGGAAAAAAAACGTCATTGCAATCCCTAAATTGACAAGTTTTGTCCATTTGCAATTTTGCATACAAAAAAAAGACTAAAATTTAATAAGTTTAATATTTTGGGGTTAAAAGTATTATTTTTAAAAGTATTGGGTTTGTGTCATGACTCCAATAATCCAAAGGATCTTTGCATAATTCACGGTTTCAAAGTCAAAGGTTGTACTTCAACCACGACACCGTACGGGCAAAAAATTTCAATTTGCCCCTAAACTTTATGTTTATGTTCTTTTAGGTCCTTTGATTTCTGTTTATTCCATTTCAGTCCCTTGTTAAAAAAATTGTAAACAAAACCTTTATGTTACTTTCAACAAGGTTGGTGATGCAAAATTTTACATTGGTTAGAGAGGGGAACTAAGGTTGTCTATCTTATAAGAGATTAGATACCTCTTCTATCAAACACGTTTTAAAACAGTACATCCAAATATGGACTAAGCCGACAATATTTGATAAAGTTGTTTGGGATGTTGCAAATGGTATCAGAACTAGAAACTGTACTGGTGTGTCAACGAGGACGTTGGATTCCCAAAGAGGGTGGATTGTAATATTTCACATTGGTTGGGGAGGTGAACTAAGGCTACCTTATAGGGGACATGATATATTCTCTATCAGGTGTGTTTCAGAACCATGAATCCAGATATAAATAAAACGGACAATATCTTATACACTTGTCTAGGATGTTACGGTAATTTATTATTGAATTTTTATGCTTATCTGTTGTCGATCAAAATGAAAATTTTAATAGTAGAAAAAGAAGTTTTTTTTTATACCCACCTTCGTTGACTATTGAGATAACATTTAAGTACAAAGTCTATTGATCTTGAAATATTGTTCTTTTTAAATGAATAAAACGTCACATTTGTAAGCTAATTCTATACATACATACATATGTGTGTAGACTTGGGTTCACGTGAGACCAGGGGTTTTTCATAAGACCCGTAAGACCAATTTATGTTCATTGATCAACTTTATAAGTTAATGATCTAATGGTCTAAAGTTGTACGGTGACAATTTTGTGATTATTGAGAAGTCTCGTGGAAATTTTGTGATTATCAATGTTTAGATTGTAGATCTAATCCAAGGGTTGAGAATTGATCTTACGGGTCTCACGAAAAACCTTTGGTCTCACATGATCTCAAGTGTGTGTGTGTATATATATATATATATATACACACACACACCTAAAAACGCCAAATATGAGAAAAATTAGATATCATCACACGAATTATGAGTTTATGGTGGCCGTTCATATATTTTATCGAGTTTACTTTAATTATGTTAATCATCGTACGTATCTATGGACTCACTTTGTTGCTAGAAGTAGTAACTAATTAAATTGTGTAGTTACGTATTTTCTTGGTTTTTAGTTTTTAACTTCTTTAATTTTTTTTATACGTTTATAACCATCATTTTTCCAAAATACAGATTCTTTTTTCTAAACAGTTATAAGTGTGGAACTTTTTAAATGCCTATAAAGAAGATTGTTATTTTTATATGATCTGAATGAATCTCAGATAAATATATAAATGTAAAAGAAGATGATTTCAACGAACTTATCCTATTAATTAATAAACAGTAATTAAGAAATTACAACTACATTATATTATTAACTTATGTTTAAAGATAAATATTGCTTGATTAATTTGGTTTATATTATATAGTTTTATTGTGTGGATTAATGCCGTACCAAGTGGTTAAGGTGAGTAGCTAGTGATGTAAGTGGCATGCTACGTTTAATTAATATGCATGCATTCATTCGTCATAAAGTTCAAAATTAATAATAACTAATTTTTTATTTAATTTTTAATTAACCTGTTATACGAACCGATTAATTTCAGGACGATCATCTGTTTTGTGGGTAGCCCGGAATCACCGCATTTGAATCTCCATAACCACAACACGTTTCACCTTTGAAGCCTAAATTCAAACCAATCAGACACCACTCTTCTGGTTAACTAATTAATAGATATTGTGTACAAAATCTACCCAAAAGATTAAATAAACTATTTAGATATTTTCATACCAATGTTACAAGTAACATTAAAAAAAAACTATTTATTTGATTCTTGAAGAAGGTATCATAAGGAATCAAGCATGAAGATGCTATAAATCATTTTGCCTATGTCTTTAGTCTGTTAGGAATTCAGGGGTTCGAACCTCACCAAACATGAAGATGATCCGTAAATTTATTTGTTGCATTTACAGTATATAGATATTTTATACTTCAAAGAAAAGATATCCCAAAATGGCATTTCAAAAGAAGAACAATCTTTACAAAGCAATATGTCAAAAGAATTCATATTGCAAGCATGCACAAGAATCTCTCCAAGTTTCTTGGAACTAATAGCCTAACGTCTTTTTAATCATGGGTGTCCGGATCAGCTTGCGCACACCTCGACTAATCCCAGAAGACCTGGAGAACATTCAGAAAAATCCCAGTGGCTTTGAAGACTAAAGGGCTAACTTTCCACTGCCGTCACAGGATTTACAAGATCGAGAAGACAAGCATTTGGTACAGTAGCTCCATTTCTTCGGTAGCCTGTCAAATATATATCTTTTCAAATAATATCATATAAAAAGACTAATAGGACCCTGTGTTTCATTTTTGTCGTAAAAAAACTTGTAAAAACACCCAAAAGCGTCTTATTAACGTATTGTAACATATTTATATATGATGCACAATTGTATATGGCTGTCCTATAAAGCCGACTTTGTTGTAATGATGCAATACATACCCAGCTGTGTATCTAGTAGCCATGTTCTTTGCATTCAATCGGGCTTTCTCGGCACTTCCATCGGACATTCTTTTGAGCACAAATCCTTCACCTTTGCATTCGGGACATATCCCCGAACCACCACAAGCATCACAAGTTCTTGTTGGAGCAGCCTGTGGTTCAGATGAACTAGAATCAAAACCATGATGCAACTCACCCACCACACAAATACGAGGATTTTGCATCTGAATCGGCTTTTATAGGACACCAAATATGTCCAAACGTCAAAGTAGACTTCTTTTATAAGACACCAAATATGTAACACCTTCACATGGCGCGCACAATTGTTTGGTCCTATAAACTTAAATCATATAAAGTAGTCTATTAAGACATTTAGACATATTTGGCGTCCCATAAAGCCCATTTTATTGTATTGTTGGGAGGTGCATTAGGCATATACCTGGGCTGTCTCTATAGACTTGGTTCTTCTAGCCAGAAGGGTGGCTGCTGCACCCACAACCGTGGCAGCAACCGCTACAGAAGCAGCCGTTTCCGGTAATCCATACGGTATCTGTAGGGTTTCTTTCGGTTTCGTGAGAAATGGGATGTAAGGACTTCTAGGGAACGCGTTATATTCTTTCAGTTTAAATTCCCTTCCTGTTTCATAGACCAAACGTAACCAGTTATGGTACATTGCAATATAACAAACGTGTAAACGGAAAATTCATAAAAAGATCAACAAAATCCAACTAGTGTTAGGTTCCGGCTACACTAGGTCCAGAAAGGCTTGAACCAAAGTAACCGAGGCTCGTTCGATTTGCATGGATCATGGATTAAAGTCCTTGTATGCAGTCTTCCGTTTATTTGTTTCCATGACTTGAACCCGTGACCTTCCAGTTACAAAAAGATTTTTCCAAACCTGCGCCTTTCAATTAAAAAACACTATTCTTATATCTATAAACAAAACCCCCTCCCAAACAAAAACCTTCTCGATATATATAAACAGATTAATCCACACTAACAACTTTATTCAAACTGAACTTAATGAAAAACCAACCAAACCGCTCCTATATGAATAAAGTTGTCAGTATGGATTAATCTCTGTGTATAGATTGGGAAGGTGAGTGTGTTTTTTATTGGAAGAGGCAGGTTTAAAAAAATTAGCTTTCTCCATAAAGCTTCCCGTAGAAGCTTACTGAATAAGCCACTTTCTATATCATTAAGCGACTATCAAACAGTCATGTATAGCTAACCAAATAAGCATCGAGTCCCATTAAGCTCCTTAAGCTGCTAACAAACAGATCCTAGAGGCGCTTGGTAAACAGCAGCATCTCCAGCTCTTACACGGTAAGAGATGATAAGCAGGTAGTAAACGACCCCTAAACCCTTAAGTCTAATGTAACCACCCCCTCAACCCTTCCAGAAGTCATGATCTCATACTTGTAAATATAAAAAAAAATATGGAAAATTGGTGAGTACTTGCTGTATGTTAAAGTAAGGTTTTAATTAAAGAGTAGGATCACAATCAGCATAGTATTGTGTTGCTGTCATGTTAGACCATCCCATATATTTAAATCAATGAGTTCCCATTTCACATGCAACTCCCAATTAGGGGTGTATACATTTCAGGTCCGGCAGTTTATGACATTTTTACAACTCAACCCAATTATGACGGTTTGAAAAAATCACAACCCAACCCATTCAAAAGTATAACCTAAACCAAACCAACCCTTGCGGGTTCAGGCGGGTTGGCTTGGCTTGGCGGGTTAGTAGTTACATAAATTTGACGAATGAAATACTTGATAAAACTTAAGTTTATAGGACCAAACTATAAAGTGTCCTATCTAAAAAGGTTATAATAGGTTTATAGAACTTTTTGGGGGATTTCAACAAGTTTTTTAGAATAATTTTTAAATAAAGTGTCGTATTAATTATATTATACAAACATTTTGAGAAGTGTCCCATAAAGGACGTTTTTTCAAGTAGTGTCGTATAAAATATTAAAAATAACTAATACGACACTTTATTTTAAAAGCGTCATAAAAATTTGTTAAGACGCACAAAATCACTGTAAACATATTGTAACTATTTTAGATAAGATATTTTTTTTTTCGTTCTACAAAGTATCATATTAGAATGCTTAGAGATTTTAGTCATCCTATAAAACCTAATGTTGTTGTAGTGAAATGTTATAACCAAGCATTTTCTTTCTACTAAAGTACAACATCAAATGACGGAGTCTTTAGATTGATAGATTCGTCAACCAAATATCTATCAATATCATTCATATTCTCCTGCATATCAATTTGTTGTTGCTGCAAAAACAATCTCAATAATTTTCTTTTATTAATTAGATTATTTGGTCCTCATTCTATCTTGAATCTCTTTTGGTAACCTATACATTTAGCTAAATGAAATACAAACATAATCTCAATAAAAAATGTGTTCTAAGAAACAGGAAATTGTCGAAAATAGCTATTTTTGATCCCTCAATTTACTTTATAGCCGTTTTCTACATAATTGACTGAAATAGTCAAGATTTTACAAATAACTATTTAACAATTTGTGAAATCCACTTTTTATCCATGTGGTATTCATAAAGAAGCAATTTCGCAAATTATTATTTTTTTGATTAACTTGGATATCAACCCGCCATGCGAGCCGACTAATCCCAGGGCAACCATCTGCTTTGCAGATAGCCCGGAGTCGCCGCATTTGAACCTCCGTGACTACAAGGGGATTTTTATTCCTCCATGGATTTGATCCTGGGACCTCCAGATATTTTTTGACCTTTAGAGTCAAGCTCAAACCAATCAGGTTGAAATTATGAAATATTAAATTCACAACTATTCGTTCTTATAAACTATTATGTTGCAATAACTTAGTGTCGAAGTCTCAGGACTAACCAGTTGACCAAGGATACAAAAAAGAATCAGAAAACCCCAAATGTCAGCCATCGTCATTAGAATCGGCCTTCAATCATGAAAATTATAACATGTGTGTGCCAAATCAGGACGAATCATCTTTCGATCGAGGCACCCACCTCCACAATTCTTGCAAAAACCCTAATTTCAATCCCATCAACCACCCACAATTCTTACATAAACCCTAATAAACATAAATCATTAACCCTCATTTAGACTACATATATCCTTTCAGTATTACAAACATCGAAGGTGAATCGTGATTGCGGAACAGATTGAGTACAACAAAGTAAGAAGATTCATAAAAAAGCACAAATTCGAACAGAAATTTCTGGAAAACAGTGTTAAAAAATGGGGAAATTGTATGGGTTTGAGAGAAAAGTGCGAAGAGAAAAAGGGTTTATGATCTTACGCGTAGTTAATGAAGCAACAGGAATGATGGTCTGCAAAGAAAGCTCCATTTTTCAGTATTTTTTGTTCTTGTATAAATAATATCTTCCGGTATATGGATTTCGTTCCTCCTGTTTCCTTATCTTCCATAATCCATATCCTTGGACCTTGGTATCAAATGACAAGTATACCCTTTTATAAGAGTTGATGAAAATGCTTTTTTGTGTATGGCTGTTTTACACTTTAAAAGTTGGATCAAAAGAACGTAAATCTACCTACAGTTAAACCACAATGGTGGTGCCTGATTGGTTTACGCTTGGCTCCAAATATCAAAAATATCTGAAGATCTCATATTCAAATCCAATAAGGAATAAAAATACCCTTGTAGCAACGGATGTTCAAATACGATAACTCCGGACTATCTGCAAAACCATTAGTCGCCTTGGGATTAGTCAGCTCGCATAGCAAGTTGGATATCCAAGTTAATGATGAAATCTAAGGATAAGATGTATGGAGGCTTGAAAAGTTAAACGCGAGCTACGCAAAATGTGAGAAAAAGAGTAACACAAATAGAAAAAGGAATAGAGAAAGTACTGATGATATAATATAACTTGAAAAAGGGAAAAGTAGTGATGAACCATGCCGAACCCCCAAGTTTCAATTGTGAAGTGTAGCACAAGTTTCGACAACATAAGTGTCAACAAAATGTTTTAAAAGAGAGCACTGAATAAACAACTGAAATACGATATAATCGCACATTCTTGACATGATCATCGGTCTCTTGTCTTGTAACAAGATTTATGAAAAATCTAGCTGTATAAGTCATCATCGTCTGCTCCACCAGCAGAGGCGGCAAACGGGTCAGAAGCAGCGGCAGCACCCCCGGATGCAGCTTCTGGGAAACGGAATTCAGACCCAAATCCACGAGACTGCTGCAATGTCTGAGCAAATGCTTGGTATTTGCGAATATCGGCATCACTCACACTTCTACGGGCATACTTCATGGATTCCTCAAAGTGAGCAGCCTTGATCTCCGCCACCTCATCCTCGTCCTCATCCATACAGTCGGGATTCTCACTTCTCTTTCTTTCCTTCTCTATGTCCTGTGTAAGGTTTTAACCAACAAACAAATTTAACTCGTGTCAAGTATGACCATCCACAATGCATGCAACGAGCAGATTAAATGTATAAAAAAGCATAGTTTATATTTTTTTATATAGCGGAACACATGCACCCACAGATGACTCTTGCGAACCCACAGATGACTCTTGCGAACCCACAACCTTCTGGTTCGTGGGATATAAACGGAACACCAGGTACCAATCGGCCAAATTCAGATTTATGTACTTGAATAAGAAGTGATAATAGCATCCACATTATAGGTTCTTATAACTGCAAGGACGGACCCAGTGTATTGGATACGGTGGCACGAGCCACCACTTAGTTCCTCCGTCGTAGTGTAAAAAATTATAGGGTCGTGAAAAGTGCCACCGTATATGTTTTGAAACTACGATGAGGACACAAGTTTCCCTTGGTAGAGTTGGTTTGCAAGGTTTTTCTTCCACCCCATACCCGAGTTTGAATCCCGTTAGTATCATTTTCTTAGTATTTAGCTTTTAATTTCAGATTTATAATGTTTCTGAAAAAATTGCAAGAAAAGACTTGAACACAGGACCTCACATATGAAAAGCAACGAACTAACCAACAAGGCAATGATGATTTTGTGAAAAAATATCCCTATGTTTGTTTCTATAGTCATATGGTGGCACCACTTGAAAAAAAATTATTTTTTCTACCTTTTTCTGCCACATCAATGCCAACTCAACAAAATTGAAAAGTATAAAGAACTTGATAAAACTCCACAATAGAGGTTTCTTCCAAGAACCTCATCTCCCCATTTTTGAACCTGGGTTCTTGTAAGAACCTATGGCCACAGTAGACACAAGAACCTATACAAGGACCTCTATTGATTCAAGATGAATAGTGAATACTTCTAAAGGAAGTCTACAAATAAAAGTGGCAGAAAGAATGCAAGTAGGTTTAAGCATGATTTGTGAGATGAAAGCTTACTTTCTCAATGTTCTCTCTTATTGCGTACTTGCAGGCACGCTGGCATATCTCTGTGATATCAGCCCCACTAAATCCTTGTGTATATTTGGCCAGAGCTCTCAAATCAACATCTTTGGAAACAGGGGATTTCCTCATTGCAGCCTTGAAAATCTGGTGCCGAGAGTCCTCATCTGGCAGAGGGATATAGATTAGTTGATCAAGACGCCCTGGACGTAGTAATGCAGGGTCAATGATGTCAGGTCTATTGGTGGCTCCAATAATGAAAACAGTCTTTTTGGCAGACATTCCGTCCATTTCAGTCAATAATTGATTCAGAACCCGATCAGCAGCACCACCTGCATCCCCAGAACTGCTTCCCCTCTGCAATAATCACGGACAAATTTTGTTGTAACCTTAGCCCAAAAAAGACAACAGTTTGAAACAAAGAGATAAGTTTATTCCGTATTCGAATAACTTTTTCCCAATTCTTTTTCTTGTTCCTGGTTTGGGAATGCAGAGGAGACTTTTAAGATTGCATCTACAACTTGAAAGGGAAAGTATACTCCAGAATTTATATTAATATGCATCAGCATCAAAGCTCATAAGACTAGAGTGGTGATATTGGCATTTCAGAACATCATACTTGAATCGTCCTTTCGAGAAAACCTAGCGTACTTGCTAAAATGCACAAAAGACAGGCATATTATAGGGTTGAGTTCCCGTGAGAAATGTCATTTCCGCGAGAAGTGTGAGAAATATAACCTTCACATAATATGCGTGCAGGTACCCTTAATTTGTGTGAAGGCGTGTGGAGGTACACATTAAGATCCTGTAACCTTCACCACCTTCAAAACATCTAATATAATCTTCACACAAAAATCTCACGCTTCGCACCCTTCTTATCAAAAATCTCTTTGCACACATGATACCAAGTCTATATCTATATCTATACATGTGTATATGTATAGCAAGGTTCAAATGAGAATGAAAAGGGTAGAGAAGAACCGTCAAACTAGAGGATCCAAGGGATGTGATTAAAAAGACGGGTACAACTTTTTTTTAAAAAGAATTTCCAACCCCCCCCCCCAAAACATATTTTATCGAAAATAGGTGAAAGACAACGAAAATTGGAGCAAACAAATTACACCAAAAAATCGAGTATTTTATTCTCTTTCATTTGACATCCATATTGTTATACTTTTTGATCCGTTTTTCTGTCATTCGCACATTCTCAACATTGTTGTCATTATCATTTGAACCTGCCTTACATAGAGAGAGAGAGAGGGAGGGAGGTTCATTTAGGAACCTTAAATACTTACAAACCCAGGAAACAGAGTATTCATGATGAATAACATGACAAAATATTCATGATAAATATCGTGACAGATATTCATGATGAATACTCGCAAAAAGAGTGGTCCCTCGGTTCCTAAAATATTTAAGGTTCCTAAGTGAAGCTGCACCTATATATATGGAGAGAGAGAGAGAGAGAGAGAGGGAGAGGATGTGTATTTGAAAAAGAGATGGTCACCTGAGTTGCAATGGAATCAAGTTCATCAAAGAAGAGGACACATGGTGCAGATCCCCTGGCCTTGTCAAAAATTTCACGAACATTGGCTTCACTCTCACCAAACCACATTGTAAGCAATTCAGGTCCTTTGATGCTAATGAAGTTGGCTTGACACTCATTTGCAATAGCCTTAGCTAGAAGTGTCTTCCCACATCCAGGAGGACCATAGAAAAGAACTCCTTTTGAGGGAGACATGCCAAATTTCTCAAATTTCTCCGGATGCTCCACAGGATATTGAACAGTCTATTATATTTCAAAAAACCAAACAGATCTTAAATAAAATGGGAACATGTGGTGTTATACTGAAATCATTTTCATTACCTCTTGAAGCTCACGCTTGACATTCTCAAGACCTCCAATATCCTCCCAGCTGACATTAGGAACCTCCACAACCTGTTTCCAGTCCAACCACAAAGATTAAGATATACCCGAAGAAAATGGTGTTTTATTAAGTATGAATAAGTTCCTAAATCCACATACAGTCTCACGCAAAGCAGATGGGTTGCTTGTTCCAAGAGCAGTCTGGAAATGTTCATTTGAGACTGCCATGGAATTCAGTATCTCAGCATCAATAGATTCATCTTCCAAGTCAATGACATCCATTTTTTCTCTAATGCATTGAAGTGCAGCTTCAGTGCAAAGAGCAGCGAGATCGGCACCAACATAACCATGTGTTTCTTTAGCTATTCTTTCCAAATCAACCTGAAAATATTTCAACGGATATTGGTGATCAGTTAAATAATTATGGCTAATACAACAAAGTATTTAGACAAAGAAAACCTTACATCATCAGAAAGTTTCATATTCTTGGTGTGGATACGAATAACCTCAAGACGCCCAACTTCATCAGGGACGCCAATGTCTATTTCCCTATCAAACCTGCCAAACCTTCTCAGAGCAGGATCAATGCTGTTTGGGCGATTTGTAGCCCCCATTACAATAACATGGGCACGAGATTTTAATCCATCCATGAGTGTCAATAGCTGTGACACAATCCTCCTTTCGACTTCACCATTGGTCTTCTCTCGCTTGGGAGCAATTGAATCTATCTCATCAATAAAAATAATTGAAGGGGCATTCTTTTCGGCCTCCTCGAATGCCTTCCTGAGATTGCTCTCACTCTCTCCAGCCAATTTCGACATGATTTCTGGTCCATTAATGCAGAAAAAGAAAGCTCCTGTTTCATTGGCCACAGCTCTGGCTATGAGTGTCTTTCCGGAACCAGGGGGTCCATAAAGTAAAATACCTTTCGGGGGTTTCACTCCAATGGATTTAAAAAGCTGAGGGTGCCTTAATGGCAATTCAACCAATTCACGAATCTGAGCCATCTGTTTTCTAACACCACCTACATCATCATAACCAATCTCATCCAACCTATCTTCATCATCTCTCTTGATCGGCTCACCCTCACAAAAGATTTCAGTGTCAGGAGCAACAACACAGTACTCCCCTGGGTCGGTCTCAATTACCTTGAACTCTACACTTCTCATCCCTCCTCTAACAAGAAAATGATCCCCCTTCCTCACTGGTCTATATGCCTCCAAGAAGTAGGCTGCATGGATGACAATATGGTCAATTATACAGCAATTCTATTGTAAGACAGAATGCTCTTCTGCCTAAAAGGATTTCAGCAGGATAACGAAATATCAACCCTTACACAATAACTTCAACGGTTAACAAATATTCAACCCATACAGAACAAAATAGAAACACATGTCAACATATGTTACAAAATTGAAAATTCTACCATAAGTGTTAATGAATCTGTCACTGGCGTCTTAGCATCACTTAATGTGTGTGTGCTTTTTCGGAACAGATGAACCCTAAACATTCTACTGCATTGAAAGCATTATATTCTGAGCCTTTAGAGGTATTCTACTCAAGGATCCCAAATGTGTTTTATCATAAGCATTTCAGAGCTTCTAAAAAGTGCATGGTAACTAAAATAAAACCTCATCAAAGTATCAAAAAAAGAGCACAACATGAAGAACCTATGATTCCTCATATTAGAGGCTAGCTATCAATTAGAGTTGAAATGTATTCTTTGAATCTCATACCAATGAACGAGCTATCATATCTAACATTTGGGTCAGCCTCTTTTCTAGGTTTCCTCACCTTGGGACCTTTATGTTCACTCCAGATCCACTAGACCACTACTAGGATTTGACACATGTAATATGTATATATGGTTATACGCAATTGGTATGAGATAGAATGCTGTTCCTTGCTTCTACTGAATCAACTTCATTTGTAGTGGGTCCTATAGTTACGTACTGTAAAGTAGAATGTTGGTTCATTTTCCAACTGGTATTCCATATATTCACCCACCCAGAAAAGGAACCAACACCTATTTTGCGGAACTTAACTATAGAACCTACCACAAATAAAGTTGATTCAATAAAAGCAAGGCACCAACATTTTATCTTCTTAGACTTGAGATTGTAGTGTTTGGTTGGCACGCCAAATAACAAGAATGGGTCTCATGTGAATATTGTATTAATCACACTTAAAACTTACGTTTCAGGTACGCGTCAAACAAATCCCCAGTGACACCTTCAATAGTGTCATCGAGTGGAAGAACATGGATACGCTTCCCATACTTCACATCTGGGCACTGGTGCACAGATACAACATCTCCAAGCCGAACCCTCAGGTTTGTTCGAATAACCTTGTTCATCCTGATCTTTGGCTCATCACAAGTTTCATCAGCAAGGGCAATGCAGACCGTATCTTTCCTTTTCTTCCCCTGTAAAACAAATTGAGAGGAAAAAAAAAGTTATTTAACTCTTACAGAAAGCCCATAAATGAAAACATAAAACCAGTGCTACAGCCAGATATTAAATAACCTCCACCCCTAAAAGGAAGGGGTGAACACTAATAACAAAGCCAGCAGTTGTCTTAAAACTGAGCAGTAATAAAATTTCCAAAAAGTGTGGCTCGGTTGCATTGCAATGACTGGTTAACCAATTCAGCAGGTGGAATAAAAAGACAGAAGCTCATTCCAAACAGAACTCGGTGCAATCCACCATGCACACATGGGCATGTAAGAATGCCTCAAGCTACAAGAGGAAAGATCATAGACCCAACAATCATAAAGCAAATTAGAAAGAATAAAACTAACATAGATAGAAGAAAGAACAAAATGTTGTGAAGAAAAGGGTTTCTGCTACCGGTCCCACGGCCAGCATGGGAGAACTAAGAAGTAAATCGTGGTATCCTAAAGCAGGACCAAATTTGAACCCCGAGACCTTGTTGTGGAAACTCTGCCCCTTTATGGAGGGAGAGACAGAATATCAAGAAAACAGTAAAGACACGTGGACATATAACAAATATGGGTGAAAGAAACAACAAACGCCTTGTGTCGCCTTGTCAGGCTGCCAAATGTGGTTCTTGAATCAGTAATGTCATGTAAATGAGCAAAAACTTAATGCCCATCAAGTATAGAAAAGTAGAAATCGTCATTTTTTCACGTAAAGGTTAACATTTGATGACAAAAAAGCTTGTTTCCCCTTTCTCTTCCAAAAAGTGAAATCATTCAAACCGTGGAAAAACCATAAAACCCACATTCCAGATCATAGAACTTGAGTATGCATCAACAGTATTTACACTAAAAATAAAACTATATATTCCGACGCTATGTTGTTGTTCAATAATTCTAAGGCTATATATATATATATAATATATATATATATATATATATATATATATATATATCCTTAACCTATTTGTACCAACACTAAAAACACAGGCGATTGTGAGTTTGTGACCTCATTAAAATAAATGATCAGGCAAGATATGGTTAGTTTTGGGTTCACATTGCTGGAATTAGTTTAACATCATGAAACCAACAATATTGAATCACCTTGAAGACAAATTAAAAACAAAGCCTATATTAATTTCATGCTCGGAAAGTAGTAGGTTTGCTGGTAGCAACTCATAATGTAACTCTCCTTTCTGGAATGGAGAACTTGTTTTCTTCTTCAAATCAAGACCAAGTTTTATCATTACCCTAGATTCAGAAAATATACCACTGATCTTTGATCTGTATACTGAACTAAATATGTCAGAATTTTACAGTCGATCACCATTCAATTGAATGAAAATTCAACAAAACCCTAAGGTTTACACATAAAATTCTGAAAAACAGGAAAAACCTTGATCAGTATGGTATCGCCGCGGAAAAGCTGCAACTTTTCCATTGTATTAGGGTGCATAGCGACGACAGAGTTATCATCATTGACGGCTTCGTCAACGACAAGCCGATTCGGAGACTTCTTGCGCTCCAAGATAGCAGTTGAAAAGTCCTTCTTCGCCGCAGGCGGGCCTTTCCTGTAACAAAAATCATCAGAGAAAGCAATAACAAGATTATCGAACTCCGATTGAAGCAAATCTCAAAAATAAAACCATAAACTTGCATATAAGGTTAATAATCGATTGATTAGTCGACACAACTTACGGCTCGGATGAAGATGACTCCGGCTGATTGCTCATCTCGAGATGACGGAGATTGGATGCTCCGATATGGAGAAGAAATCTGAGAGTGGTGAAGAATTCGAAGAAGAGAAATAACACAAATAGGAATAACGGAGATGATGAATCTGATAAATTGCTAGAGGATATTTGCTCGATCTATGAATGCTCAAAATTGATTTTTGAGTCAAGTGCAAATTTGGTCCCTAAACTACTTCTTGACTTACAGGATTAGTCCATTAAAAATATTTTTATTCTTTTTATCTCGTTTGGGTCCCTAAACCCGGCACGAAGTCTTTACCGAAGAGAATTCACGCCTAAATCATTTAGTGAAAACGTCTAAGGGTTGTTTGTTTACTTCTTAATAGTTTCATTAAGAGGCAACATTTGAATCGTTAAGAGGTGAATCTTGTTTGGCAAAAAAAAAAGTTTGCCTCTTAATGGTTTCAAAACCCTCTGAATGCTTTTGTATCATGAATCTCCCTTAACAATTAAAAGCTCTAATTTCATTGTACACAATTACCAAATAATTATATTTCATTTTGCACTATATCATAAGAGTCTCTTAATCATCTTGACCACTTAATCATTTTACACCAAACCATTCAGCAAAACATAAGTTGTTTCATATAAGCAATCTCAAACACCCCCTTAATCATTCTGCACCAAACCATTCAGATATTGTCAAACAGTCCCTAAATCATATATGAATTAAGTTATTTATTTTTGTAAATCATATAATTATAGAGAAATATAGGATAATGGCATGACCTGAGCCTATCAAGTACCAAATTTATTTGATCCAGTCGTAAATAAAGATCCCATGTTTAACAAGTCTCAGGTGCATGATTGGCTTAGAGATGGTCAAACATGGGTCCCAGTCCCAAATCGATCTCTTCAAAATCAGGTCGGCATGTCCCGGTCTCGGCCCAATTCCAACCATATGACCAATCTAGGCTTGTTAACCGGTCTCGGTCACATCAGGTTGGTCACAAATCCGGACCCTAGTCCAGCCCGGTTTTTTAAAAATATTTTTTACACAAAATGTTATATATGTTCTTATAATTACAATGTTTGAAACTTAAAATAAAAAATACACTTTAACTAATACATTTAAGTAAATAAAAACTTAAAAATCTTTTAAAAAAAACTTGAAAACTTAAAATAAATAAAAAACCTTGATTATGTTGTGATTTTTTTAAATCTATCATAATCTATAAAAGATATTAATTTTTTTAATTAGGCCTAAACATAACTGGTCCAAACCGGGATTTGAAATTTAATAAAAAAATGTAACCGCTCTCAAATTGTTGGGCCATGAGCAATGCCAACCGGTTTTGGGCTGGGAAGAGCCCAATTTGGTCATCTCTCGTCGAGTATACACTGTCTTTACCTGCAGATAGTTGGGATTGAATGATGTTTTCCACCCGATTAAAATCACCAGAAGATTCTTCGATTTTAAATTTTAATTAGGTTTCCAATAAATTCTTAATCAAAGTGATTTATCGTTTAAGCACATATATCATGAATTATTGTGGTACCTTAGTGTCTTTTAGATTTTAAATAGCTCGAAATAGATTTTCTTTGATAACTACTTCATATACTTTAAAATCCAGGAATATGGCTCAGTGTATTTGCTAATTGAACGTTAAATATTTTTTATTTTAAATTCAATAAATGTGTATCGGATTGATGTGTTTTATAATTGCTCGATAGCTACTCAATGTACATTATGTCAGTAATAATGTTGCGTGTATTAACCATAAGGGTTGTAACGTAGGGGCTGAGGTCTTGGGGATGTGGTGGATGTCTCATCCGTCTGAGTTCGATTCCAGACGTACACAACTGAGAAATTGCAGTAGCTTAATCTGAAAAGTTGAGAAACAGGGCAGGACAACTGAGAAATTGCAGATGGAGAGGGTGAGGTAGAGAATAAATTGAAAATGAGCTATTTTTTTTAACTTAAATAACTTGATGAGAGTCAAATAGTTTTGATAGTAATCATATATATCAATTTGATCCTATAAAGATTACACTGTACGCTCATCGATAACACGTCTGTCATTAATACCGAGAACAATGAACACAAAAGTGCAAGGTATCTCACCTTACAAAACATTGAAGTCAGCAAGAAACTATCGATGTCTGACGAAACTATCAATAGTGATAGACATAGGACTTTAAGGTGCGGCGGCGTCTTAAAAAGATCTGAAGAATCGAGAACCAAACGAGCGCCCATCAAAATCGTTGAAAAAATAAACACGCATGATTGCTCATGAACGACATTAAATATTTTACATTTATCAACAAAGATATTTGTGTAAATATTTAGAAGTTAAGCATATTTTTTGAAACATGTTAACATGGAAACATATTTTTCATGTTTTATATAATATTAAGGGGTTGTTTTGTTGGTTTTCTGTTAAGTCATATATGAAAAAAAAAAATTTATATGTATTAATTTGTCTGTGTAGACTGACAAGATTTTTGCTTGAATGTTTTTTCATATATTGAATGAGCGTTTTTTTTAATTGAAATGGTAAGTTTAGAAAAAAAATTGACTTTCTACATAAATTTTTTATCTAGAAACTTGTTGAATAAGTCATTTTTTATATATTAAACCACTATCAAAAAATTATGGGTTTTTTTTTTACCTCTTAATAGTTTCATTAAGAGACAATATATGAATCGTTAAGAGATGAATCTTGTTTGACAAAAGAAAAATCTGCTTCTTAATGGTTCTAAAATTCTCTGAATGATTTTGCATCATGGGCCTCCCTTGATCATTCAGTGCTCTGATTTCATTGTAAACAATTACCAAACAATTATATTTCATTTTACAATATATCATAGAGTTTTTTAATCATTATGACCACTTAATCATTCTGCACTAAACCATTCAACAACTACCAAACAACCCCTTAATCGGTCTATTTCGGGCTTTCATTGGTTGGGGCTTAACCAATCCCATGGTTCCTTAATAAGTTAGGTCTAATTTATAAAATCATAAATCATATATTATATAGTGTCTTACTCATTTGAGGGTTTAGATTTTGGTGAGAATGAGGAGCCGTTTGGTTCGCGGAATTCGAAGGAATTTGACGGAATTGGAATGATAAATTTCTTTGACCAAATTCCAATTTATTTGTTTGGTTCATTTCTTGAAATGGATGGAATCCTTCAAATTCCAATGAATTCCACAACTTAAGGAATTCATCATTCCTTAGCATAATGGAAGGAATTGAATTCCATCAACACCCACAACGACCATGTTATTACTGTTTGTGATGCCCCACCCCTAACCCCCCACCACCTCCAAACCACTATTGTCGCCCCCACCCACACCCTACCTCAACCCACCACTAACCACCATGCCATTACTATTGTCATCACACCCACCCACCCCCGGGCCCCGGTCACTCACTGCACATCCCTGCTACGACCATGCTACTACCGTTACTATCACGCCCTAACCCCCACCACCACACCATTATTGTCGCTATCATAGTTGCCATTCACCCCCACCCCACCCTACTCCACCCCACCACTAACCACCATGCCACTATTGTCGTCATTATACCCATCCACTCCCAGCCACCTGACCACCATCCCACCACTGTCATCGTCATAACTACCACCCATCTCCACTACCCCTCCGCCCCTAACCTAACCCCCACCCCTCACCATTATTGTCGCTTTCACAACCGTCATTCACTCGCAACCCACCCCCGAACCTAACCCTAACCCACCACTAAATACCATGCCACTATTGTTGTCATTATACCCACGCACTCCCAGCCCCAGCCACCCGACCACTATCATCGTTCCATCTACCACCCCGCCACCTACCCCACCCACCCCCACCCTACTCCAACCCACCACTAACCACCATCCTACCACTATAGTCTTCATTTGCCACCCACTGGCCCATCCCCAATGCCTCACCTCACCCCGCCTACCCCCCAACAACCCCGCCTATTGTGGGGCAGGGGCAGGAGTGGTGGGGGCGGGGTTGGGTAGGGGTTGGGGCAGGGTGATAGCTGTGATGACGACATTAGTGACATGGTGGTTGGTAGGGCGTGGGTGGGGCGATATGTGGGATGGTCCAAACAAAGACGATTGTTCCAATTCTATTGAGAGATTTCATTCCAATTCCCACCAACCAAACGCATGGTCAAATTCCATCAAATTCCATTCCAATTTCTTCAAAGTCAAATTCCTTTGATGGATTCCAATTTCATCAAATTCCATTATATGAACCAAACACCCCCTGAGAGTTAAAGTGAGAATCTCAATAAATGATCTCTATCATTTGATGTATATTAGAATGAGATGCCTCTGATCAATTCTCGTATCAAACGCGATTCATAGGTATGTTTGATATTAAAGGTTATCAAATGTTCAAATCCATTCTTACACTTTTTACTTTAACTCTCGTTTTCATACGATGTCATCCGTGAGATTAGTCCTAAGTCGGTAATTTAAAATAACTAATGAGATAATTAGCATTATTTATTAATTATTACACAACAAATTAATGCATCTTTAAAATGTGCATCTCATCTTAATGTGCATACAAGGCTGGAGATCCCTTATCACGTTTCTCATCTTCAACCCCATTCTCGTCAGAACCCAACGCTACAATAATAAGATCAGTCATTTTGAATTAACACATATTCTAAGATAAAACTAAAACTTGAAGACGAAAATTGGCGAAAAGACGTTCAAGTTTTTTTATATATATTCATTTCTCGAAATGATATGTTTCCACCAAGATATTTATACGTATCATGTAAACACATTTTATATCATTAAAATAAACCCAAATTGTATTTAATTATTTTTAAAAATATTTTTGTATATGTATTTTGGTTTTTTGTTTTATATAATCCAATTAAATTGAAAGTTGTGTGATAGCTTTTTGATTACGACATTAAAAGGATGTTGTTATTCATCCAATTTAAATTTATGAAAAAAGAGAATATTTTGTATTTATTTGTTTCAGAAAGGAATATTTGAATACTTTAACGAAAGCAATTGAACAATAAATAAAAAAACAAAAAAATTATTAATTGTATATTTTCCATTTTGAACCTCTAATCATTTTAATTGACAGGTTAGTCCCTATAGTTACACGTGGACATCCACATAAATGGACGCATTGACATGTCATTATCATATGAAGTAACACACTCTCATTATTACATGTCATATGTTTTATTTTAAATTTTCATCTTGTTTTTTTTTAAGAGGAGCTAAAGTTTGAAGTTTTACTTATTTTTTAATTGATGAGAGTTGGTGTTAAAGTTTGAAATTTAAATCAATAAAAATATTTGTTTTTATAAAATGATAAATGTTTTTGTTATTTAAATTGTCTATTATACCCACCGGGTATTTATACATCAATTATTTATACCAAAAGTCAGAAGGACCCAAATGTTACTTATTTTATATTGAAATAGAATCATCATTTTTATACAAAAATATAGCGATCTATCATAACAATACACATCGGATGATAATATCACATCATCATTAGTTATTTTAACGGTAGAATGAGAAATAACAAAACTATTTACAAAATTGAACTGTTGACGTTTTTACATAAATTATAAAATAATAGAAAAAAATCAAGTTTCACTCAACTTTTTGTTTGATATACAAAAAATTTCATCGAATCAACTGATCACTGTTTTGTTGGTTGCTCTCAGGCAAAGGCCCTTTAGGAATGCATCTTCAATTACTGGAATTGCAGTTCCATTATGCCAGTCTCGGCTTCCGATATGATTAATTTCAACAGCATTAATCAAGTTCCAGGTGCTTTTTAAATCTTTTGGCAAGCAGTAATATGGACAAGGATCTTTTTCCTGTAGAGGAACAAAAACTCTCGTATTTTCAATGGTGCAGTTCTTACCACTAATCTCTTTGGGTGATATTCTTTCAAGGTCCTTTGGTCGGGTCTCGTCTAGATGACCCTCTTTTCCAATTCCGTGAAATACTTGGAAAAATTATCCGACCACTGCTACTTTTTGATTTAGTTTGTTTTTTTTGGTGTTTTGTTATGTTTCCTTGTTCGTGGTTGTTGTTAGGTCAATTTTGTTAGCTTCGACTTTTCAACAGTCTTGGTTGTCTGAGGATCCGCCCCTTGCATATTCATTTCTTTTATTTGTCTTGTATCTGTATCCTTTTAATACATGTCTTTCAAAAAAAAAAAAAAAAACTTTCAATTTATTAAACAACACAATGAAATTATTTAATTGTTAGTTAAGATAAATAAATAAGATGTAGAAATACGGTAAACCAAAACATGTGTATTTAAACTATAGTACATCTAAAAATGCTACCGTAATTATTTTGATTATAAACAAATATAAAATGGTATGTTGAATCTAGGTTTTTTGTCTTAACAAAAAAAGTCATATAAATGTCCACATAAATAAAGAAAGGAGGACTGTAATGACATATAATTAAGCTACAAACAAATAATCATAAATAAGTTATCTATATCATCAAGTCTGTTAAATTTTATGGATTGAGTTTCATGAGAAGAAAAATTATAGTGAGAAACGTAAGAGTAGATATCCATAATTGGATTAATCATAATTGAATGTCAACATAACGAGGTGCACCGAGATGCACCAGATCAATTTTCTTGTAAATCACAATTCATGATTGAGCATGAGATTAAAAGTGATCAATGATTAAGATCTCTTCTTACAATTCTCTTCTCACAGCTATTAGATGTCTTAAATTTATTACAGTTGTGTTTACAGGGAAGAGTCCGAACGAGGACATGGGCAAAAAACAAGAACACCATAAAACGTGCTGTAAAAATATGAACGATAAATTAAAGAGAGCAAAATGTTTGTTTCACTCCAACTTTTGTTGCATTTCACGATTTTCGATTAAAAAATAGGAGAGGGCAGGGAAGTTTGTTGTTCCAATAAAAAGATGGTTATAACCACCATGTTAATTAAATCTGTTGAATAGTCTCATCTTGCAGTTAAAATTTATGATCACATTTTCGTATTTTAATTATGTTTTCGTTTTGACAGATCTAAAATGAGAAATCAACCCAATAACCATTTCCCTCATTCAAATTGGTTTTATAACCATTTATATCCCGATTTGACCCAAGTGCCACTACTTCGGCATCATCCATTGCAGACCAAACTAAAAGACAAAAAATGTCAAATTCAATCAGTTTACCGTCGCAATTGCATGTCTGGTCGTCACAATTGCATATATGTGTTGAACTTGAATCTTTTTGCATATCTAGTAGTAGTCCATATTGTTACGAACCTGAATATTATCAAAATAACGACATTTGGGTTAATCCAGAGAAAAATGGTTAAAAAACAATTTAGATGATAGTAATTGTCATTTAGATCAATTACTGATCTAAAATTCGATTGAATATTGTGGAGAGTACATGTTTCTAAGAATCCAATAAATTTGGTCTTTGTGGTTTGTCTAATATAACACTTTTTATCCTTCAAGTTTTAAAATTATAAAATGGTTATCATAATTTATAAAAACAGTCAAATTTGTTCTTTTCCTTTAACAGTCGTTAATGAGCTGTTTTTTCATCTTTTTATCAGTATCTTTTTGTCAGTTACCTAATAAAAAAACCCAAGAAACAAATCAATCATAAAATCGATTTTAATAGGTTAAAAGATAAATTTTTTTGATAAGAAGACAAAAATGCCCCTCATTTAACAAATTCTTTTAACGGTCGTTGGAGAAATAGACTAGAAAATCGAAAGCTTTTACAAACCATGATGACCATCATGTAATTTTAAAACTGAAGGGACGGATTTTTTAATTTTAACAAACCACATGGACTAAATTTGTTGTTTACTCTAAAATATTTATTAAAAATGAAATGATTAAAGAGTAAACAATCAGCAATCACTGACAATATGAGGGGGTGTTTATGAAAATATGCTTTACCAAGTTGAAATCAACCAGACTAATGATGACCCTTCCTATCTCGACGCTGTCTTTTGTCTTTCATATCTCACACCAGTCCATTTCGCCTCTTCCCCCTCAGATCCAGGTGAGTTTATCACTCGGTATCACTTGCTCTCTTGTCTTTCCGTTCTAGTTTTTGTGTTCTTCATTCTTCTTCAACTATCTGACTCATGGGTTTCGCTTCTTATGTTATTAATTAGACTAGTTATTGATCATCCCGTTTGGCCCACTGGACAATATCCTCTTGAATGTCTTTCTTGAAGTTACTCAGTTATTTTATGTAGCAAAATTCCAATCTGGAGGTTTCTTGGTGGTCGTTTCTTTTGAAGAAATTGGAATCTTGTTTGGAGTTCAGATTACTTGGCTGAGACAATAGATTGATGTATTTTGGGTGATTAGTGTTCTTGCATTTCTTGGTCTGACACTTTTCACTTTTGGTTCAGTAGATTTAAGATTTGGGTTTCATTCTTCATTAGTTGCTTTTACTGTAGGATGAACTGATGATTATAGTGCTCACTACCTGTTTGTTTAAAGTCTTCTTTAGTTTCTGCACTTCGTGTTTGTCATTTAATGAAGGATAAAGTGAATCTTATTGATCTTATTCTGTATATATGAAGTGTTTCTTAACCAAATACTTGGAAAAAGAAAAAAAATTGGTGATTTCAAATGGTGGGTGTGACCATTTATCCCATGTAATTTATAAAATCTCTGGTTTTCAGGGTTCTGTATACTTCACTTTCTTCCAAGATTGATTTAATGGTATATCCAATAGTGTTATAGAGGGTTATATATTTGGCTATCAAAGGACGATATAATGGAAGAAATACAGTCCCAATCTGATAACTACAGATCTTCATCATCTTCAGCTAGCAGTCCTGCTAGTAGAGTTCCATCTAGCAATTTTTTCTACTTAAGAAAACCAGGTGCTTTAAGACAGCCAATTTCATTCGAGGATTCACCTGATTGGGAGGATACAGATGTGGAGGTTAGGGTGGAAGAGGGTGGGGGGGACTCCATTAACACCGCCACTGCCCCGGTTTCACCGTCTCTTTCTAAGCTTAATAGTGGCTCCCTGCCATCCCCACCATTGCCGGAGGGTGCAATTGTAGCAAGAAAGATTGCAGGGGCTACCATTGTGTGGAAGGATTTGACAGTTACTATAAAGGGTAAACGGAAGTATTCCGATCGGGTCATAAAAAGTTCAAACGGCTACGCTTTACCTGGAACGATGACTGTAATCATGGGCCCTGGAAAGTCAGGGAAATCAACACTATTGAGGTCCCTTGCAGGTATGTAGCATGTGTTTGATTTCTATTTCTAGTACAATGAAGAACATTTAATCGTTAATTTTAGATTTATTGAATTTTAAGAGTTTTTTTTTCTATTTTAGGAAGATTAGATGATTCAGCCAAAATATATGGCGAAGTATTCGTCAATGGAGCAAAGTCAAACTTGCAATACGGATCCTATGTAAGTTTTCAAGATTTCTTTATTTGAATGATCCTGTGCTTCTTAGACATCTTGGTCAATTTTGTTGGGATATGCATCATGTCTTACCCTTTAGTTGGCAATTTAACATTTTCCTTTTGTGGGAAGGATGATAATAGAAGGGTTATTTAGCTAAATGACCTTTTGACTTCCATGACCTTTTGACAACTTTTGAGAATGCCTCTGCCTAATAAAAGAATGCCTAAAAAATATCAGAAGGTTTTTTTAGCTAATAACCCAGGATAGAACACGGGACATATAAAATGGTGTAAACTAATGGTATTCTTTTGCCATTTATAGGGATTTGTCGAGAGAAAAGACACACTTATCGGATCATTGACTGTGCGTGAGTTTCTTTACTACTCGGCACTTCTTCAGCTTCCTGGTTTCTTTTATCAGAAGAAGAGTGTCGTTGAGGATGCTATCCTTGCCATGTCGTTGGGTGATTATGCGAATAAACTCATAGGTGGCCACTGTTATATGAAGGGACTTCCTAGTGGTGAGAGAAGGCGTGTCAGCATTGCGAGAGAGCTTGTGATGAGGCCACAAGTCTTATTTATAGACGAGCCTCTGTACCAACTCGATAGGTCAAATTCTTCATCTTTTTGCCCGACTAAATCTCTCTTACTCCATCCCAAAACAAATTTTCACAATGAAAAAGGCACACAGTTTTATAAGAAATGTGTAATTATTACACCTTTTAATTTACCAAATGACAATTTTATCCTTAATAATAAAGGGAGTAATTCATTTATCTATCTCGTAATTAAGGGCAGACTTGGAAAGTAGGCACTTAATTTTGAAAGTGGACACTATTTTTGGACTGTTTAGTACCTTCTTGTGGGATAACAATCATCCATTTTCAGTGTTTCTGCACTACTGATGATGGTGACGTTGAAGAAGCTTGCGAGCACAGGTTGCACCCTAATTTTCACCATTTATCAGAGTAGCACAGAAGTGTTTGGCCTCTATGACCGAATTTGTCTTCTTTCAAATGGGAACACACTGTTTTTTGGAGAGACACTGGCTTGTTTGCAGGTAACATGCTTAGTTTTATAAGTTTCTTATGATTAGCTTGATTTATTAAGCATTTACACCACGATCTTTATCTCATCTTGTTAAGAAGATGTTCCATAACAATAAAACAATCAATGCAGTCATAACTTTAAAATAGTTATTCATTTTGTTCTTGGTCTGTGTAGTTACTGAATATGATCATGCTTATAATCATGTAGCACTTCTCAAATGCTGGATTTCCTTGCCCAATTATGCAAAGTCCTTCTGATCATTTTCTTCGTGCCATAAACACGGACTTTGACCGAATTATTGCGATGTGCAAAACCTGGCAGGTAATAGCTTCTGTTTAACTTCTTACCATATTTGCTGCTGTCAATGTTGTTTATTTTGTTAAATATGTAAATTTACCAATTATGTACCTAACGGAAACTTCATTTAAGAACCGTAAATATTTTGAGAACCGTGAGAACCAAGTATTCATGATAAATATACTTAAATGTTCATGAATATTATTGATCATGAATATCATGCATTTTCATTATTCATTATATTCATAGTGAGTAATTGGTTCTCAAATGAACCTGGCCCTATGTACATATTACTGTTCTGCCGTTATAGGCCTTTCATCTTACGAGCAGTATTTCTTGAATTAACTTTGACAGGACGACCATGGGGATTTTTCATCAGTTAATATGGATACTGCTGTAGCGATCCGCACCCTTGAAGAAACATATAGATCTTCAGCTGATGCAGCAGCGGTCGAGACTATGATTCTCAGGCTAACCGAAAGGGTAAAACAATTACAATTTTAATGTTCTTTAAGATGATACCATTAATTTATATATATGTTTCAAGATCAAAGATTCAAAGCACACATAAGCATAATTATACTTTTATTGATATTGTTTAGTCTTATCTAGCTTTCCAAGTTTAACACATCTGTTTTCCTCCCCTTCACACACTTTTCACAAACCGGGGGTAGTAACTGAAACAACCACTTTACTCTTTAGGGTAGAAAAACATTGGGCTTGTTTGGTTTGGTTTATAAACATAATTTTGGGTGTTAAAAGAACATATCTTTGTCGAAATTATGGCAACAGGAAGGTCCGTCTCTCAAAAGCAAGGGGAAGGCAAGTAGTGCTACAAGGATAGCAGTCTTGACTTGGAGATCGTTGTTGATTATGTCAAGGGAGTGGAAATATTACTGGCTTCGGTTAATTCTTTGCATGCTTCTTGCACTATGTGTTGGCACTGCCTTTTCCGGATTAGGCCATTCGTTGTCTTCTGTTGGGGTGAGCTGCAAAAGTTTTAAATTTTTGTTAACCCAATTATCGGCTCTTTTCCTGAACTATAAAATCCTTAAACTTGTCATCTAAGCAAAAGAATGCATATTGATTTTGCAGACAAGAGTTGCAGCAATCTTTGTGTTTGTATCTTTTGCTTCACTCCTAAGCATTGTTGGGGTACCTGCACAACTGAAGGAGGTCAAGGTAATTTTGTCTCCTTACTCCTCGGGGTAGAGGTAAGGTCTGCCTACATTTTACCTCTCGCGACCCTACTTCTTGTGGGATTTAAACTGATTGGACAAAAATGCTTTTTTTTCCATCCTACCAAAATAAATAAGGAGACATGACAAGATTGGTAAATTACTAAACTACCCATGTCAAATTAAAACTCTTAAATCCTTCCATATTTCTTTTGCCCATCTTTCCAATCCCATCTGGTCTGCTTACCAAATGCACTTGTATACTTCCAAGTGGGATATACTCGGTAGAGGGTATGTTTGCCTACATTCCACCCCCTAGAGGCCTAGACCCTATTTCTGAGTGGGATATATTGTTTTTGTTTGATTTGGTTTGGTTTTAATGTTCGTTTTAATGCAGGTCTATGCTTGTGAAGATTCAAATCGACATTCGGGGGGAGTAGTTTTTTTATTGGGACAACTCTTTGCGAGTTTTCCGTTCTTATTTCTAATCTCCATTTCGTCGAGTTTGGTTTTCTACTTCCTTGTGGGGCTTCGAAACGATTTCAGCTTTATGATGTATTTTGTGCTCAATTTCTTCATGTGCCTTTTGGTTAATGAAGGGTTGGTGCTTGTTGTTGCCACCATTTTGCAAGATATGTTCTGGAGTATCTCAACACTTGTCTTCATTCATGTGAGTTTTCTAAATTACTTGATGAAGACATGAAGTTATTTATGTCAAATGTCTAAAATACCCCTCAATGCGAGACCAGATAGGAGTCTTTTTTGGATCAAAATCAATAGAATGACATAGGTGACTTCCACTTGAAGATTAGCCAAAATAAGGGGAAGTCGTGATTTTTCTTGAAATTCCAAAGAGAAATCATTGCAATTATCGGGGATTTTCAACAACACCAGTTGTAAAAGATTTATCGAATTAAAGATGAAACAACTTGGAGAAGTATTGAATTTATAATCCATGTGAAAATGCTGTCTTACAGGTGGCCATGATGCTTTCTGCTGGCTATTTCCGAATTCGCAGTGCTTTGCCTGGACCAGTATGGATGTATCCTGTATCCTACATTGCTTTCCACACTTACTCAATCCAGGCAAGTTTATTGATAGAAAATTTCGGTCTTTTGAGGTCAAATTCACAAAATTTCAAGTTAATATTGATAAGAATTCCTTGGAAGTCACTACTGTGGTACGCATTTTGCTTTGAAATGATCTTTTGCACGACATTGTTAAAAAATATCTCCGCTAAGTGAGGGGCATTTTTGTCTTTTTACTTGATATGAATTGGGTGTGATGAATCTCGATAAGAATTTTTGGAAGTCACCACCGTGGTATGCAATCTGCGTTGAAAATGATTCTTTGCACTAACATTGTTAGCAAGATATCTCCGTTAAGCGAGGGTCATTTTTGTCCTTTTTTACTTGATATGAATTGGGTGTGATGAATCTTGATAAGAGTTCTTTGAAAGTCACCACCGTGATATGCATTCTAAATGATCTTTTGGCCTAACATTGTTAAAAAAAATATCTCCGTTAAGAGGGGTGTTTTTGTCTTTTTTACCCAATTGTGAAATGAATGTCGGTTGTAGGGTCTGTTGGAGAATGAGTACGACGGAACATCATTTGCGGTGGGGCAGGTGAGGACGATATCAGGGTATCAAGCGCTACATAACGTATATGATGTTTCAGCTGATGATGATTCGAAATGGAGGAATCTAGTGATCCTTTGTGTGATGGCTGTCGGGTATCGGGTGGTTGTGTTTCTATTACTACATTTTCGTGTGAAGAAGTCGTCGTCTCTATTTAGATTTGTGTGTTGTAAACTGAAGATGAATGATAGAAGATGAATGAATATATATATATATATATATAGATTTATGTATGTATGTATGTATGTACTACTATCTTGCCCTTTTGGGCTGCTGTTGAGAGTGTATGGGCTTCCTAATGTATCTTGGTTACTCCATTTTTGTTCAGGAAATTGCAGGAATTATTTCATTGATTTCTTACCCCCTCCCCTTCTCATACTTTGGGTATTTAAAGCATCAACAATGGTTGCTTTTTTTGAGGTTTCCGATTTTACCATTTAACTTGACTTGCAATGGGGTTTCATCTTCTCCTCTTCGCTTGATAGGGACATGGTTGTTGCTGTGATTCGATCACCGGAGATGGTTGTTGCCGGTGATTTGGTACCTGTGTCAATATATACACATATATATATATATATATATACATCTATGGGAAGGGTTCAAACGAGAACCCCTGTGATTTACGAGAACGTAAGAACAACCCAATAACCTCATATTGTGATAAAAAATAAAATTAAAAGATTTTTAAAATTAAAATTTAAATTTAAAAAGATTCAAAAAAATTTAAAATTAAAAGGGTAATAATGGAAATGATATCATCAAATCTTTTAAACTTGATCATTATCTTTTAAACACTAATTATTATCATTATCTAGTAAAACGGTTACGAAATAGGTTAGGATTATACTAGGTGTGATAATCATGTGATATAGGTGTGATAATCATGTGATATAGGTTTGATAATCATGTGATAGGGGTGTGATAATCACCATTATACATCACTTGGGTTATCGTTTTTAAAATTTTGGTGTAATCATGTGATAGGGGTGTGATAATCATGTGATAGGAGTTTGATAATCACCATTATACATCACTTGGGTTAACGTTTTGGTTGATAAGTTAAAATTTTGGTGTCATCATGTGATTTGGGTGTGATAATCACTGTTATACATCACTTGGGTTATCGTTTTGGTTGACAAGTTAAATTTTTGGTGTAATCATATAATATGGGTGTGATAATCATATGATATGA